GAATTATTTTACATCCGTTTGCGCGTGTATACACATAAGAGAAGTAAATTATTTGCGTATACAAGAGAGAGAGAAAAAAAATAAATAATACGATACTCGCGTCGTATTAAAAGAACGAAAAAAGAAAAAGAAAAAAAGAAAGAAATGAAACGTTGGAACGGAAAACACAATGGGTGGATGTATATTTGCTACAGACGAGGACACCACACACGAGAATCCGAAGCCAAAGTCGACGGAAGAAAGCGGGAAACTAAACCGCGGGAACTCTAAGAATCGAGAATACAATCGCAAATCACAATTTCTCGTTCTCTGAATTTAAAAGCCCGCGGAAGAAATTAAGTAGATCTTCAAGATGGATAAGAACGGACGACCCAGTATATTTAAATATGTATATATATATATATTTGAATGACGCACGCTATCATACACACAATATAAAATACATACATATTTTTCATCATTATATGTAATATAATATAATATTGAGTATACCTATATACGTATCGTTTACACAATGTGTATTTAAATAAGACAAATTTTAATTAGCGAAAAGAGAGAGAGAGAGAGAGAACAAAGAAGGGATATAATAGATGACGATGAGGAAGGGTAAAAAAAGGTAAATAAGACATATGTAAAAAGAAGAGAGAAAATAAGAATGAGGAAGAAAAAAGGAATGGGATTGGGAAAGAAAAGGATAAGAAGAACGGTCGGTGGGTTAGCGCCGTACGGATACGGGCTTGACACGTACCGGGTGTCCCAAATGTCGCGGGCGAGAACGCTCACGCTACGCACACGCACGCATTTGCTTGGTCACATAAGTGCAGGGTTAAACCACCGCTCGCCATCGGGCGAGCCCCTCTCATACCCATTTGAGCACCCCCCTCCGAGCAGCGTTCATTCGATGGTTCGAGCGCCGGCACTGCGGCCACTACTACCATCGTTACTACACTACTACTACTATTACTATTTAGAGAGACGGTTCCTATAATATTCTCTCTTCTTATCTTTCCTGACGATGCGTTTAAGTTGTGTGCGTGTCTCTCTTCTCTCTCCGTCCCTGTTATACCCTCTCCTTTCCTTTTCTCTCTTAGGACAGAACGTGGTCGGAGTTGCACGGGCGAGGGCGCGCGCGCGCACACGAGCGTGCGTGTCGCCGGTTAACTCCGCGCGTGTAAGTGGTGAGCCACTTCCTGATGGCGCAATGGCCCGCTTCCTCTCCGCCCCTCCCCGCCCCTCGACACTGTAACTACCACACCGAGAGAGTTCTCTGAGTCGACTATCCCCCACCACTCGGAGCTCGGCTACTCCGACCACTGCTACACGCTCCTCCCCCACTCTCACTCTCTTTCTCATTCTCTCTCGTTCGTCGGCTTCATCCCTACCCGCTTACTTACGTATGTACCTTACTCTCCCCCCCACTACTCTCGTAAATGCTACGAAATCCCAGTGACGTATATTTATACGAGCGTGGCCCGAATTCGCGAAGGGCCGAGTGCCGCAAGTGCAAGGACGACGATTGTGCTTTTCTTTGCCGTCTTCCTCTCTCTCTCTGTCTCTCTCTTTCTATCTTTTCTTTTCTTTTTTTTTTTCTCTTTCTCGATAGTGCTACTGTTCTTCACTCCCTCCCCTACTGTCCAATTCTCTTACTTTATCTCTAGTAAATACACTTTTTCAAACTATACGTATATATATATATATATACATATATATATATTATATATGTATCTCTATTTCTTTTTATTTTTTTTGTTTGGACTTTTTCCTGTCTTTCTAATCTTTCATGCCGGTTTTTGTACTATTAACTTGCACGAGATGCGTCGGAGTAATTTCAATATATATATATAAGAAAAAATAGAAGAAAAATAATAGCATAAAAAAAGAAGGAAACACGCTTAAAGTCATAGTCGTTAACGTGGGAGGATCACGGGAAGGATGCCGCCGACTAGTACAAAGACGATGACTATAACGATGACGATGATAGTAAAGAGGTAACGTATTTCATTTTTTAGAATGACAGGAAACGGATGAATGCGACTCGACCATGATGGCGATTTACCAAATGTTATATACGGTCTTTCTTTCCTTCTATCTATTTTTCTATCCTCATGTATTATAATACACACGACGATTATTATTTTATTTAATTAATAATCAATAACGCGAGAATAATATTATTCGTCGTGCATTTTCTCTCGAGTGCAATAAAAATTCGAATCAATTGCGCATACGTACGAATACACGCGTAACAGACAGTGTTACGCGTAATCAATAATTACAGATTATGAAAATAATTTGATATTCTTCGATTTTTTTGTAACTCTCGATATCTTTAACAGGTCATCGAGCCTTCGCGTAAACAAGCTAGTATTACTACGATTAAAAGATACGATCTCTATTTTTTTCTTCTCTCTCTCTCTCTCTCTCTCTCTCTCTATATCTCTCACAAATAAAATTACGTAAGTCCGTTTCGATTTATCGTAGCTATATCTCATAGTATAATGCTTCGATTCATTTATCGTGAACGATAAGGATCGGAACAGGTGAATTTATGTTTGTTATCAAGCCCGTCCCTTATATTTCTTTCTTTCTTTTTTTTTCCTTTTCTTCTACTTTTATGTTTTTCCTTGGCTTCATTTCCTAAACGCGATAAGCTCATATCCCGTATTTCATTAATTACGTATGTTCTTACACACGTTCAAAAAATTACATATATATATATATTACATTCTGTTCATGTTTATAACGTTTACGGGAAAACATACATTTTATTTATTAAACACTCTTAATTATTTATTTTTTTTAT